GCCGGGGCGGCGGGTGCCCAGCGCGGCTCCCAGGCACAGCCCGCCTTGCCTTCTCACTGCCAGCCCGAGCTGGCCCCGCAGCAGAAGTGTCTGAGACTCTCTCCTAGGAAGTTATGCTGGGTTGTTGCTGTTTTTCATATGTTTACAGTTTTTTAATCTTTGTAATTCTTTTAAAATTATGTCTGTAATGAATATAAAGATTACTGACTGGGAAAGCAAGCGGTTTAATCTTGTAAAACTCCTTTTTGACCCACAATGGGGCAAAACGTCACAGTCCATCGTGAGCTTTTCAATAGTGCATTTGATGCCTTATTATAAAAGCAACAGTGTTCTGTACAGATTGAAAAATAAAAGTCTGTAAAGCTGACTGCTGTCATCATGATCCTCTTTGCTCTCGCTGAACGGCCGGTTGCGGTGGTGGCTCTTCCCCTCCATGCCGCAGGCGCAGCCCCTTGTCCGCAGCCGCCGGGAGCCAAGGCAGGGCCCGTGCGGGCAGCAGGGCCGCCTGGTGAGAGGCAGCGCCAGCTGTGCCTGTGCTGGTGCACCAGGTTTGTCCCGAGCTCGCCCAGCAACTGGGTCCCTGCCAGATGGCCCTTCCCAGTCAGAAAGAGCCAGACGATGCAGACTTTAAAACTCTGCTTGCGCCAATGTCCCCCCTATCTCTGTGTAACCGGAAAAAAAAAAAAAGAAAAGAAAAGAAAAAGAGCGAAAAGAAGGTGGATGGGACCAGATGGGTGTGCATGAGCAGGCAGCGGGGAGGTGCCGTGTCAGGAGGTGGGTGTTGAACCCCTGTCCATAACCACCTGCATCACCACTTCTGTACCTTGGCCGTGACCAGGGCAGGACAACAGCTGGTGCTGGGTCCAGCGCTGACCAAGGTGACAACGGGTGGGCGCAGGGTCCCCAGGAAGGGCTGGTGGCAGCAGGTGGTGCAGGGAGAGGCACCAGCAGTGCTCCCGGAGGGTTGTGGGCTGGGCATGGCCGCCTTGGTGGCAGCTTCACCTCCCCTTCCAGCATACCGTGGCTGTGCCAGGGTGGGGCAGTGATGGCACGGGGCCATCAGGGACAGGCACCAGCAGCTGAGCAGGACCTCCAGGCAGCCACAGTTTGCTCCTGGCTTGCGTTTTTTGTTTCTCCCAGATCCCCAGTGCGTGTGAGTTAAGCACCTTAACCACATTTGACAACCTCTACTCCCTCCCAAATGTGATATGAAGGATCAGCTCCTTTCCTACCTCTGTCGCGTGAGTCAAAGGGTGGGTGGGAGTGCTGCCAGGAGTGTGGATCCAGGCTGGAGCAGGGG